ATATCTGGTTCTTCTATTCAATTCCATAGGTAGACTTCTCTGTTCTTATTCCAATACCAAGCTTTTTTCAACACTGTAGCTGTGTAATAGAGTTTGACGTCAGGGATGGTAATGCCTCCAGAAGTTCCTTTATTATATAAAATTGTTTTGGCTATCTTGGGTTTATTTTTCCATATAAACTTGATTATTGTTCTCTCAAGGTCTATTTATTGTTGATTATTATTCTCTCAAGGATCACTGATTCTCTTATTGTCTGTGCTACTGGGCTTCTATTTAGGAAGTGGACTCCTATGCCTATATCTTGTAGACTACTTCCCACTTTCTCTTCTATCAGGTTCAAAGTGGTCAGATTAATGTTGATGTCTTTAATCCATCTGGACTTGAGTTTTGTGCATGGTGATAGATAAGGATCTATTTTCATTCTTCTACAGGTCGACATCCAGTTATGCCACCACCATTTGTTAAAGATGTTTTCCTTCTTCCATAGTATGCCTTTAGCTTCCTTGTCGAAAATCAGGTGTTTAAAGGTTTGTGGGTTAATATCTGGGTCTTCTATTCAATTTCATAAGTCGACTTCTCTGTTGTTTTGCCATTACCAAGCTGTTTTCAATACTGTAGCTCTGTAATAGAGTTTGAAGTCAGGGATGGTAATGCCTCCAGAAATTCCTTCATTGTATAAGATTGTTTTGGCTATCCTGGGTTTTTTGTTTTACCATATAAAGTTGATTATTGTTCTCTCAAGGTCTGTGAAGAAGTTTGATGAAATTTTGTTGGGGATTGCATTGAATCTATAGATTGCTTTTGATAGAATTGCCATCTTAACTATGTTGATCCTCCCATTCCTAGACCAGGGAGATCTTTCCATTTTCTTGTATCCTCCTCAATTTCTTTCTTTAAAGACTTAAATTTCTTGTCAAATAGGTCTTTCATTTCCTTGGTTAGAGTTATCCCAAGATATTTTATGCTACTTGTGGCTATTATGAAAGGTGAAGTTTCTCTGATTTCCCTCCCTGCTTCTTTATCCTTTGTATAAAGGAGGGCATCCGATTTTTTGGAGTTAATCTTGTACCCTGCCACATTACTAATGGTGTTTATCAGCTGTAGGAGTCCTTTGGTAGATTTTTTGGGATCACTTATATACACTATCATATCATCTGCAAATAACGAGAGTTTAACTTCTTCCTTTCCAATTTGAATCACCTTGATCCCCTTATGTCTTATTGCTATTGCTAGAACTTAAAGCACTATATTGAAGAGGTATGGGGAGAGTGTACAGCCTTGTCGTGTTCCTGACTTTAGTGGAATGGCTTTGAGTTTCTCTCCATTCAGTTTGATATTAGCTGTCAGCTTGCTGTAAATAGCTTTTATTATCTTTACGTATGGTCCTTGTATCCCCAATCTCTCCAACACCTTTATCATAAAGGGGTGTTGAACTTTGTCTAATGCTTTTTCAGCATCCAATGAAATGATCATATGGTTTTTTATTTCAGTTTATTTATATGATGAATTACATTGATAGATTTGCGTATGTTGAACCAGTCCTGCATCTCTGGAATGAAGTCGACTTGATCATAATGGATAATTTTTCTAATGTGCTCTTGGATTCGGTTTGCCAGTATTTTATTGAGAATTTTCGCGTCCATGTTCATGAGTGAGAATGGCCTGTAATTCTCTTTCTTGGTTGTGTCTTTGTGTGGTTTTGATATCAAGGTAATTACAGCTTCATAAAAAGTTTCTGGTAATTATTCTTCTGTTACTATATTGTGAAATACATTAAGGAGTCTGGATATTAGCTCTTCCTGGAAGATCTGATAGAATTCTCCATTGAAACCTTCTGGTCCTGGGCTTTTTTTGGTAGGGAGATTTTTGATAACAGCTTCTAATTCTTCATGACTGACAGGTCTATTTAGATTGTTCAACTGGTCTTGGTTCAACTTTGGTATGTGTTATTTATCTAAAAAAATGTCTATTTCTTTTATATTTTCCAATATTGTGGTATACAGGCTTTTGCAGTAAGATCTAATGATTCTCTGAATTTTCTCTGTGTCTGTGGTTATGTCCCCCTTTTCATTTCTGATCTTATTAATTTGCATGTTCTCTCTCTGCCGTTTGATTAGTTTGGATAGGAGTTTGTCAATCTTGTTGCTTTTCTCCAAGAACCAGCCTTTTGTTTCATTGTTTCTTTGGATTGTTTTCTGTGTTTCTATTTTGTTGATTTCAGCCCTCAGTTTGATTATCTCCAGTCTTCTACTCCTCCTGGGTGAATCATCTTTTTTTCTAGAGCTTTCAAGTGTGCTGTTAAGTCTCTAATGTGTGCTTTCTTCGTTTTCTTTAATTGGGCACTTAGTGCTATGAACTTTCCTCTTAGCACTGCTTTCATATTGTCCTATAGGTTTGAGTATGTTGTGTCTTTATTTTCATTAAATTCAAGGAAGACTTTAATTTCTTTCTTTATTTCTTCCTTGACCCAGGGTTGATTTAGTAGTTGACTGTTCAACTTCCATGAGTTTGTTGGCTTCCTATTTGGGTGGAATATTCTATAGATATCTGTTAAGTCCATTTGATTCATTACCTCTATTAATTCTCTCATTTCTCTGTGGGGTTTCTGTCTGATTGACCTGTCTATTGGTAAGAGAGGTGTGTTGAAGTCTCCTACTATTAGTGTGTGTGGTTTGATGACTGCCTTGAGTTCTAGAAGTGTTTCTTTTACATAAGTGGGTGCTTTTAGATAAGGGGCATAGATATTCAGGATTGAAACTTTCTCCTGACGAATTGTTCCTGTTATGAGTATGAAATGTCCGTCTCCATCTCTTCTGATTGATTTAAGTTTGAAGTCAATTTTGTTCAAAATTAGAATGGCCACACCCCCTTGTTTCTTAGGTCTGTTTGCTTGGAAAACCTTTTCCCAAACCTTTACCCTGAGTAGATGTCTGTCTTTGTGGTTGAGGTGTGTTTCTTGTAAACAGCAGAATGTTGGGTCCTGTTTTCATATCTAATCTCTTAGTCTGTGCCTTTTTATAAGTGAGTTGTGTCCATTAATATTAAGTGATATTAATGACCAGTGGTTGTTGACTCCAGTTTTTATTTTTTTATTTTTTTGTGTTTAGTAGAGATTGTGTGTTTCCCTTCTTTGAGTTGTGGTTGTGAAGGGTCGCTAGATGTCTGAGTTATTGTAGGCATTGTTGGCTTCCTTGGGTTGCGATTTTCCTTCTATTACTTTTTGTAAGGCTGGATTTGTGGCTACGAATTGTTTAAATTTGTTTTTATCCTGGAATATTTTGTTTTCTCCATTGATAGTGAATGATAGCTTGGCTGGGTATAGTAGTCTGGGCTTGCATCCATGATCTCTTTGTTTCTGCAGAACATCTATCCAGATCTTCTGGCTTTCATGGTTTCCATAGAGAAGTCCAGTGTAAGTCTGATAGGTTTATCTTTATAGGTTACTTGACCTTTTTCCTTTGCAGCTCTTAATATTCTTTCTTTAATCTGAACATTTTGTGTTTTGATTATTATATTGCGAGGGGATGATTTTTTTGATCAAGTTTATTCGGTGTTCTGTATGCTTCTTGAACCTTCATAGGAATATCGTTCTTTAGGTTGGGAAAGTTTTCTTCTATAATTTTGTTGAATATATTTTCTGGGCCTTTGATCTGCTGTTCTCCTTCTTTAATCCCTATTATTCTTAGATTTGGCTCTTTTATTGTGTCCCAGATTTCTTGAATGTTTTGTGATGAGAATTTGTTGTATTTGCTGTTTTCTTTGATCAGAGCATTTATTTTCTCTTTGGTATCTTCAGCATCTGAGATTCGTCCTTCCATCTCTTATATTCTATTGGTTATGCTTGATTCTGTAGTCTCTGTTCGTTTACCTAGATTTTCCATATCTAGTAGGCCCTCGTTTTGTGTTTTCTTCATTGCCTCCATTTCAGTTTTCAAATCTTGAACTGTTTCTATTACCTGTTTCATTGTTTTTTTCTTGGTTTCCCAAGGTATCATTCACAGATTTACTCATTTCTTCAAACTTTTTGTTATACTTCTCATCCAATTCTTTAAGGCAGTTATTCATATCCTGTTTAAGGGACTCTATTGCTTTCATAATGGCACTTTTTCCCACTTCTTCTGGATTAAGGTTTTCAAGTCCTTCTACACTAGGGTCGTTGGCGTCTGGTGTTTTCATGTTGTTTTTCAAATTGTTGGAGGAGTTCTTGTCTTGACGTCTGCCCATCTCTTCCTTCAAATGCTCTCTATTGAATATTCTGATATTGGGTCATGTTCCCTTGTTGGTCAGGGACTTCACTGACAGAAGGCCTACCTTTCCTCAGGCAGGCTATTGAAACCCAGGAACTGCCTCCTGCTGGGTTGTGTTTCCCCGCTCATGCCCAGCATACAAGGGAGTTGAGCTGGGGAAATTTTATGGCCCCAAGAGGGAATGGAGGGAAAAGGAAGGTGTACCTGGATGAAAGCTGGCATGGGAGGGAGGTGGGAGAGCTTAGTAGGGTGGAGTCATCACTGCAGGGTGACTAGAGAGTCAAGGCAGACGGAGAAAGTCTGAACTCCTCCTAGCCGGGCTTCTGCCACAGGCCAGGAGCAAAGTCACCCCTCCGATTTATGTCTGCCAGAAGATTAGTGCCCCTTGATGGTCAGGAATGTCGCTGATCTGACACTCATCCAATTCTTTAAGGGAATTATCCATATCCTGTTTAATGGACTCAATTGCTTTCATAATGGCACTTTTTTCCACTTCTTCTGGATTAAGGTGTTCAAGTCCTTCTGGGACTGAACCACTGGGATCTGGTGTTTTCATGTTGTTTTTCATATTGTTGGAGGAATTCTTGCCTTGACGTCTCCCCATCTCTTCATTCAAATGCTGTCTATCAGATCTTCTGATACCGGGTCAGGTTCCCTTGTTGGGCATGGACCTCACTGACAGAAGGCCTACCTTTCCACAGGCAGGCTATTGAAACACAGGAACTATTCTTATCTTATTAAGCAACCACATACTGGTCTTGGTAGACCCTGTTGGTCCCCAACGCCCCCTGCTGGTCATTTCTCTGTATGGAGGTTTTTGTGCAGGCTCACACTGGAGTTCTTTCACTGTGTGTCTGGCACAGTAATACATGACTGTGTCCTCAGTTTGCAGACTGTTCAGTTTTAAGAAAACTTGACTCTTAGAGGTGTCCCTGGTGATGCTGATTCGGGACTGGAGAGCTGAATTATAATTTGTGCTTCCATCATACCATATTATTCCTATCCACTCCAGACCCTTTCCTGAAAGTTGGCGAACCCAGTTTATGTGATAGTTGGTTAATGAGATTCCAGAGACAGTGCAGGTGAGCGACAGGGTCTGTGAAGGCTGCACTAGGCCAGGTCCTGACTCCTTCAGCTGTACCTGGGACAGGGCACCTAGGGAAAAGCAACAATACCATCAGTCATATAACCCATAGATGAAAAACCTGACACCCTTTCCTGAATCCCTGAAGCACTTACAACTTAGAAATGTCACCAGGCAGAGGAGCAGCACCAGGACAG